GTTCACTGATGAATTTTATCAAATGTTTCAAGAGGAAGCAGTCCTTCCCAAACTCTTCTAAAATATAAAAAAGGTGGAAACCTTCCCAACTCATTTCATGAGGCCAATATTGCCCTGATTCCAAAATCAAAAAGACATTTTGAGGGTGGGGAAAAAACTACAGAATGAAGTCCCTTCTGAATATACACAGCAAAATACTAGCAAACACAGTCCAGCAACATTTAAAAAGGATTAAATATCATGACTAAGTGGAATTTATCACTGGAATGGTAAGGTTGGTTTGCCACATAAAAAATCAATTAATGTAATACACTATATTAAGAGAATAAATAAATAAAACCATATGGTCATTTCAGCAGACTTAGGATAAGTATACAATACCATTTCATGATAAAAGTACGCATCAAATTAGGAATTAAAGGAATGTTTTCAACCTGATAAAGGCCTCCCATGGCTTTTAGTATATACTTGGTGAATATCTGAATGCAAGGATGACCTCTCTCATCACTTCTATTCAGCATTTATTGGAGGTCCTTGCTCAGGAAGTTAGTCAAGAAAAAGAAAACATATCCAATTGGAAAGGAAAAAATAAAATAGCAAATAACACGATCTTGTATATAGAAATCCTGAGGAACAAATGTGTACAAACACACACAAAAAGACTATTAGAACTACTAAACAAGTTCTCATGCAGTATTAAAGATTAGTTGACATAAATTATATTTTCTGTGTATTTCACATGAACAATTTGAAAATGAAATTTAAAAACCAATTTACAATAGCATCTAAATATTCAAATATTTAAGAATAAATTTAAAACAGAGGTGCAAAATGAATACTACGAAAGCTTCAAAATATTGTTGAAAGAAATTTTAAAAGATCAAAATGATGGGAAAAAATTCCATGTTCATGGATCAGAAGACTTTATGTTGTGCAGATGGCAATATTCTTCAAATTGATCCATAAATTTAGTTCAATCCCTATCAGAATCCCAGCTGGCTTCTTTATAGAAATTGCAAAGCTAATTCTAAAATTTGAGTGGAATTGCCAGATATCCAAAACAATCTTGAAAAAGAATTGAATTGAAGGACTCATACTCCCCAATTTCAAGACTTCCTATAGAGCTACAGTAATTAAAATAGTATGGTATTAGCAGTAGGTTAGAGATATAGATGAATACAGTAGAATTGAGAGTATAGAAATAAACTTTTACATTTATAACCAATTAATTTTTACCTAGGCTATCAAGACCATTCAAGTGGGAAGAGAATAATCTTTTAAACAAATGATGTTGCTATAACTGAGTAGTCACATGCAAAAGAGTGACTGTGAACCCCTGCTTTCACCATATACACAGTTAACTCAGAGTGGATTAGGGACCTAAATGTAAGAGCTAAATCCATTTTACTTATAAATTTGTTATAACACACACACACACACACACACACACACACACACACACACACAGCTTTAAGCCCCAGTCGACTCCTTCACTGACCTTTAATTTATTTTTTATTCAATAAGTTTTTGATGCTGTGTTTTTATTTTCATTCATCTCAAAGTATTTTATAATATCCCTCATAGTTCTTCTTTGATTCCTTGGTTATTTAAGAGAGGGCAGTTTAATTTCTACATATTTGCAAAATTTGCTATATTATTGCTATCTAATTCTATTCCATTGTGGTTGGAGAACATACTTTGTATAATTTCAGTTGTTTTGAGTTTATTGAGACTTGTTTTATGGCCTAACATATGGTCCGTCTGTCCTTGAGAATGTTTCATGTGTATCTGAAAAGAAAGTTTATTTTTCTGTTGTTGGGTGGGTCAAATGGTTTATAGCTGTCTGTTATATCTAGTTGATTTACAGTGTTATTCAAGTATTCTATTTCCTCATTGACTTTTCTAATTATTCTAGGATTAAAAATGCAGTATTGAAGTATTTAAGTATTATTGTTCAGTTGCCTATTTTTCTCATTCCTTTATCTTCTTGATGGGTTGAGCCTTATATCATTATTAAATATCCTTCTTTATCTCTAATAACAATTTTGGTTCTAACATCTCTTCTGTCTGAAATTATTATTGTCACTTCAGCTCTCTTTTGCCTACTGTTTGCATGCCATATTTTTTTACCCAGCCTTTTACTTATAACCATGTTGTGTTATGGAATGCAAAGTGTGTTTCTTGTAGTAGTATATAACTGGGTAATTGTAAAATCTGTTCTGTCAATCTCTGCCACTTATTTTGAGCTTTTAATCCATTTGCATTGAATGTAATTACTGATAAAGTAGAATTTATGTTTGCCATTTTGCTGCTTGTTTTCTATGTTTTAAGTCTTCTTGTTTTTTTTTAAAGAGAGAGAGAGAGAGAGAGAGAGAGAGAGAGAGAGAGAGAGAGAGATTTTTTTTTCAGTTTTTGTTGGACACAACATCTTTATTTTATTTTTTATGAGGTGCTGAGGATCGAACCCAGCACATGCCAGGCGAGCGGCTTACCACTTGAGCCACATGCCCAGCCCAAGTCTTCTTTTTGCCTCTCTATTTCTCTATGACTCCTTATTTTGTGTTCAGTAGATATTGACTAATGTACTATTTTAATTTCCTTTTCATATTTTTACTCTATATTGTTATTTTCTCTTTAATTCCTCTGGGTATTACAGATGTCATCGTAATTTTTAACGATTTCGTTTTTATGACTATTAAGGTATCTTCAATACTATACAGATCTTTGATCTTATTTAGTTTCACTTTCTCTCCTGCTTTTTGCTGTTGTCATGCAAATTACCTTTATACACTGCATGCCCATCAACACAGATTCAGAATTAATGTCAAATACAGTTGTATTTTAATCAGATGGAAGAAAAGAGTTACAAACAAAAATATATTTGCAGTTTCTTTCATACTTACTTATGTAATTACCTTTACTGGTATTCTTTATTTCTTTTTATGGATTTGAATTATTATCCACTGTCTTCCTAGCTCAGTCTCAAGAACTGTCTTTAATATTTTTCTTGTAGGGCATTTTCTATTTTGTTTGAAAAGTCTTGATTTCTCCTTTAGTTTTAGAGGATTAGCTGTGCAGGATATAGAATTCTTGGTTGGATAGGGTTTTTTTTGGCACTTTGAAAGCCACAGTTTTCTGAGATGCTTTTTATTTTTCTTCATTCTGTTTTTCTGTTCTTAGACTGGATAATCTTAATCGACCTATATTTAAATTTATTGATTATTGTTTTGTTAGTTCACATCTGCTGTTGAGCCCTTCTCATGAAGTTTGCATTGCAGTAATTGTTCCTTCCTTCATTCTCCCTCCCTCTCTTTCTCTTTTTCCCCATTCATCTTTCCTTCCTCCTTCCTCGTTTTTTCCTCTTTGTTTCTTTCTCCCCTACCTCTTTTTTCAGTGCTAGGGAACAAACCTAGTGGCTTTGTGCATGCTAGGCAGGTGCTCTACCAATGAGCTACATCCCAGCCCCAGTAATTACATTTTCAACTCCAGAATTTCTATTTACTTCTGTTTTTATATCTTTCTCTTTATTGCTATTTTATTAAAAGTCATTGTTCTAATACTCTTTTTTTTTCATTCTTTAGGCATGGTTTCCTTTAGTTCTTTGAACTTATTTCAAATGGCTGACTTAAAGTCTTTGTCTTTGACAACTGAACTTCCTGAGGAACAGTTTTGACTGGCTATTTTCCCCCTGTGTATGAGTTATACTTTCCTGTTTCTGTGTTTGTCTTATAATTTTGTCAAAAACTGGACATTTAAAATAGTATGATGTGGCAATTCTAGAAATCAGCCTCCCATTCCCTCTTGGATTTCTTTTTACTGTTCATGTATTCTCTGACTTATGCTTTACTTCCTCCTTGAGAAGAACCTCAAGGTCAGTCAGAGGTAAGAGATTAGGACCTTTTTAGATCTTTCCTGGGCATCTGTTCAGTCTTGCACACAATTGGCCTTGCAAGTTCCAAGCAATATTTGGGAGATTTAAAAAAAATCTCCCTGTGAAAATCTCCTTTTCTTTTTTTTTTTTTTTTTTTTTTTTGCGGACACAACATCTTTGTTTTTATGTGGTGCTGAGGATTGAACCCGGGCCACATGCATGCCAGGCGAGCGCACTACCACTTGAGCCACATCCCCAGCCCTCTTTTTTCTTTTTAACATGTTTTTGATTAGACTTTTGTTGCCTCAACTGATAATGCTACCCCTGGTAGCTGTGTGTTATAATTACTGCTGATTATTTTTAAGAACGACTATAGAGATATAGCTGTAATTATTGAGTAATTTTCTGAGTGTGGTCTGATGGAGACAAGACTTGGGGATGGAACTTTTTTGGAAGCTTCCAGAAAATTCTCTGAAGATGGGGCTTGTAGGGAGCTCCAAACCTGTTCTACCTCCCTTATCTATGGGCTCACTGCTGGGCTAAGGGTTTCCACAGTTACTGTAATTGTGCCTTTGTTGGTGGTTTTTTTTTTTTTTATTTTTTTTTTTTTTTTTAGTTGTATATGGACACAATACCTTTATTTATCTTTATGTGGTGCTGAGGATCGAACCCAGGGCCTCACACGTGCAAGACGAGCACTCTACCACTGAGCCACAACCCCAGCCTGCATTTGTTGGTTTTAATGCAACTACAGAACTCAGATGAGTGGGATAGGAATAGGGCAAGTTAGAGCTCTCTGTTTTTACCCACATTTGGCTATTTTTCATGAATAAGTGATTCTCCTAATGTTGCAAGCTATTGTTACTTTCCAGATTTTGTAAAAGTTGATTTTGACAATTTTTGCTACAATTTTTACCACTTTTATGGTGGAGCTTTGTGGAGGTCCTTTCCTTGATGTTCCAAAATGCTTCCTATAAAATTGTTTTAAGAACATTTTTAAAAGATGGGACAGTGGGGGTCGAGGGGCTGGGGTGGTAGCTCACAGGTAGAATGCTTGCTTAGCATGTGTGAGGCACTGGGTTCAATTCTCAGTATCCCATATAAATAAATAAAATAAAGGACCATTGGCAACTAAAATAAAAAAAACATGGGACAGAGAAAAGCCATAGAAAGGCAATATTTCTTGAAACTAGTGATCTGAAGGAATTTGGAGGAAAGGTAAGTTGATTATTGCTTTATATAAATTTTTATATTATTTGCACATTTTATAACATATACATGTATTTTTTAACCTGATAATTGGAGCTCTTTCTATTTGTATAATATGCTTCTAAAGTTTGTAATGCATATATTTTAGTATAATTTATTGTGTTATCCAAATGCAATTATTTGATATAAAATGCCATCATGGTTATATTCTAGATGGGATTATCTTGAGAAGTTTAGATGCTTTGGGGATTTGTACTGAATAGAAAGGCAAGACAAGAAGAGTTCACTTATCTCAGAAGTTCTTTTGATTTCTCTTTTACTTTGCTGTTTTAGGTGTACAGAGCCAACGGGCCAGATGGAGCCATTGGCAGAGGCCAGAGAATTCACCTGCAGTTATGGGACACAGCTGGACAGGAGAGGTATGCAGTCTTCAGTTATGTGCTCCTGACTGGAGGAAGGAGACAGCTACACTCTTGACATAGTGACCTGAGCAGGGAAAGCCAGCCAATTAGCTGATTTGCACCTGGATAAGATATGCTACCAAATTAGCTGTAAATTTATTAATCTGAGATGATAATGGTGGCATTATTTTATGTACAAAGTTCAAAGGAAAAATGAATCCTTTTCAAATTGGACCTTCTTACTTGAGGACTTTTTCTTTCATTATTTTTTTTAGACTTGTATACTTTTCTTCATGTACTGTTGCTGTTACTCAACTATAAGAAAGTTACAGAGTTACATGCATTATTACCTAATGGTGGAAATCTAGTGGAAAATCTGGTTGGAATTAATTTGTATGGTCAGAGGTTACTTGACTAAAATAAACCACATGACATCCTGATCTAATGTTGTTTTAGTTAGGTACAGCCTGTTTTATCTCACAGCCTCCTTGAATGATTTTATTTATTTATTTTTAATATTTTATCATGAAAAACTTTAAGCATGTACAAAAAGTAGAGAGGCTAGTACAATGAACCCAGGTACCTGTTATTCAGTTTAAGCAGTTATTGAGTTGTGGCCAGTCTTATTTCATGTATGCCCATGAGCACTTCTCACTCCTTCCTCCCACATTATTTTGAATCAAAGTTGAGATATTGTATTATTTCATTTGCAACTCTTTTGGTATGTATCTCTAAATAATGAATTCTTGTAAACAATTGGTTAAAGTGTTTGAGAAAAACCTAACATTGCTGATTAGATGATGAATTTATACCAATGTTTCCTTCCCTGGAGCCTGCCTGTCAGTTACAGGCTTGTCGTATATATAATCAAGGTGAGAAGAAACTGTTAGAAGGAGAGAGAATAGATAGTGGGATAAAGCCTTGGAACAAGGCAGAGTACCAAGAAAGAGTAGGGAATATCATTCCCACCTTAAAGCAAAGAAATGATTATCAGAGATAAGGGAATTAAAAGATCACGGAACATTTTGTAATGTCAAGTCAAGCTTTCACAGAAGGAAAACTTACACAGCAAGCATTTTTGCTTTTGGCTTAATTAGCTAGTAATTATACAATAAATTCTTGGCTGAGATTGAGAGATCATGAGCTAGTTCTCTTTAACTCCGTCCAGCAGGCTAGGTTTTCAAATCACATGGACTGCTAACACATGAACTTATATAAGTGGTAAATGCTGGTCCTATGCACTTTTGGAATGGCATCATGAGATTTGTTATTGACGAGCTTTTGTAAAGAGGCTGAGGGCATTGCTAGCAGCTTATATTTCAGGAATGGGGCTTTGGTTTAAGTGACCAATCTGTTTTTTATGATCCTAGGTTTCGTAGTTTGACAACAGCATTCTTCAGAGATGCTATGGGTTTTCTTCTACTTTTTGATCTGACGAATGAGCAAAGTTTCCTCAATGTCCGAAACTGGATAAGTAAGTGTTATTGTTTTCCTGCTTCTGCTGCCTGCACTGGGGAGTAGAATACCCGCTTATATCTACTTATGTTGCAAATTCTTTTGGAGGAGCTTTTAGTGTAAATGCTGTTTAAAAGATCATGGTGTTTAGCTTAGGACCAAAGATGACTAAAATACTCTGCTTTTACTAATTCTGATTTGTTAGATACTTCTGTGCTCCAGGTACAAAAGAGCATTTTAAATGTCATCATTTAATAAGTCTGTTGCACAGGGGAAATTCTTATCCCCATTTTACAGATGGGGAAGTAGTTAAATCTCTAAGCATCGCTTGTCTCTTGTGTGCTATCAATTCTTGTATTATCCCTGCATGTTAAGGATATATTACATAGATGTAGTTATCTGTTGAAGGCTTAATGGACCCTATCTCTATATCCTTTCTCTTCTTGGAAGCCCCTTCTCTGCTTTTGGGCTTAGAGCTTCTGCTAAGAGAACCTGACATGGAAAGTTCTAGAACTGCATTGGCAAAAGTCATCCCTTCATTTTGGGCCTTTATTTTGGATTTTTAAACAGATTTGAACCTCTGAAATGATTGGTTTATAGTAAAGACAAATCTCACTGTATGACCAAATAACAGCTTTCAAATGTACGTTTTCTTTGATCATTTTAATAGAACCCTAGAGAATCTGTTAGAGAAGCCTGTGATGTTACATTCTGAACATCCACATCTTTAAAACACTTACTTAAAAGTAATACTTAGGGCTGGGGTTATAGCTCAGTGGTAGAGCGCTTGCCTAGCATGTGTGAGGCACTGGGTTCAGTCCTCAGCACCACATAAAAATAAATAAATAAAATAAAAGTATTGTGTCCATCTACAACTAAAAAATATTTTTTAAAAAGTACTACTTAAGGGCCGGGGTTGTGGCTCAGTTGTACAGCACTTGCCTAGCATGCGTGAGGCACTGGGTTCGTTCCCCGGAACCACATAAAAAAAAAATAAATAAAGGTATTATGTCCATCTACAACTAAAAAATAAAAAAAATTTTTTTTAAAAAGTATTTCTTAAAAATTACTTTGTTTTCTTGGGTTATGAAAGGACATTGGTTATTTTTTGATAGTAAAAAATCTTATTTTAAAAATTAATCTTTAACTTAATTTACTGTGCCCTTCAGAGCATTTTCACATATTTTGTATCTGATCCTCATCATCACCCAGCAAGGAAATTCTGAGAAATTCTCTCTGAGTCTGAGACAGTAATACACTTATCCAAGGACAGGGAGCCTTTGGCTTTCTGTTCAAGTAAGTTGATCACTAAGAATTTAATACTTTATAAATATGGATTTCCTAAATGTTGTTAGGCTTACTGGGCTTCGTTTTGCTAGATGCCTGGTTGACTCGCACACTTTGCTATTTCTCTCAGAGCTGAATGATGATGGCAGTTCCTAATCTCTCAGTCCTTATTTGTTATCCTCTCCTTCACATCATCAGAACAAGTTCTGGAGTTTTCTTTTTAAATTTTTTTTTTTTTTAGTTGTTGATAGACCTTTATTTACTTATATGTGGTGCTGAGAACCAAATCCAGTGCCTCGCACATGCCAGGCAAGTGCAGTACCGCTGAGCCCCAGCCCCAGCCCTGGGGTTTTCTAAAACGTTTAGTAAGGGCCACTAGAGATTGCTCATAGAATCTTAGCATTGAAAGATAATGAACCCACCTGTTTTTCACAGGTAGAAACTGAAATTGAGACATTAGACAAATCTTGCCCATCTTTTTAAAAATTATTTATTTATTCTGAATTGTTATATATGACAGCAGAATGCAATTAATTTCATATTACACATATAGAGCACACTTTTTCAAGTTACTGGTTGTTCATAAAGTATTTTCACACCATTTGTGTCTTCATACATGTATTTAGGGTAATGATGTCTAACTCCTTCCACTGTCTTTCCTACCCATGTCCTTCTCTTCCCCTCCCTCCCCTTTGTCCTATCTAAAGTTCCTCCATTCCTCCCATGCCCCCCCCTCACATTGCCATTATGAGTTAGCATCCTCATATCAAAGAAAACATTCCAATTTTGGTTTTTTGGGATTGGCTTACTTAGCATTTTTGGGATTGGCTTACTTCACTTGGCATTATATTCTCTTAACTCCATCCATTTACCTACAAATGCCATGATTTTATTCTCTTTTAATGCTGACTAATATTTTATTATGTATATATGCCAAAGAAATCTTGCCCATCTTATTAGCTAGTTAGATAAAGATCAGCATTATGCAAAAGTATGAGTATGCGTGTTTGTATTTTGTTTTATTTTCTTTGGAAAGTAAAAAAAAAAAAATTCTTATTGTCCAGTTAGGTAAACTTACACATATTAAAGATTTCCTATCTTTTCAATGGGAAGCATTCTCCTGCTTCACCCCCATATAAACAAAAAAGAATAATGTTGAATGTCAGAGGCGGTAATATGAAATCTTAATTAGAAATGAAAATTTGTTAGTTATATGTTATTTTTCCTCTATTAACATTTTGAATATTATAGAGATCATCCATTTCTTCTGCTTTAAAAAAAAATTTGGTCAAAATAATAGCTTAAATGTATGTATGCATATAGGTAGGTAGGTAGATAGCTTGTCAGCACAAAGGTAGAGAAGTAGCTGTCCTGGGTCCTGGTTGGCCAGGGAGAGAAGTATGGCTCTGTACTCTTCCTTTGCTCCCCCAGAGCTGTCGCATAGGTCTTTCTTCATCTGGTGAGACTCTCTCCATGCCCTTTTGGCGAGGGAGATGAGTCTAAGGGTGAGCCTGGATCAGTTTAGGAGACTGAACAATGAGCCAAGTCCTACCCAGATTGAAATCTGAATGGAATCAGGTAGTGTACTCACTCCCCTGCTTTCCTGGAGTTCAGAGGTGTGAGCAGCATGACCGGATTTGTTCCTTACCCAGGGCCAGCTACTTTTGTAATGAGACTTTAAAAGAGCCTAAATTTCTGTAGCCTCCCACATAATGCTATAAGAGCCCAACAGCATATATTTTTCATATTTTGCCCTCTATTTTTATTTTGATTATCCCCTCTGACTGGAAAGCCCTCTCTACAACCACACCATTTAAAAAACCAATTAGAGTTATGCCTGTCCTTTAAAATCTGGCAAAAATTAGCCTCTGCGAAATTCTCTGTGATCAATTTTATCAGAATAAATTTTACCCTTCCTCTTAATCCTTGTTCAAATCTTCACTGTTTGTAGGGTCCTTATCACATACCATCGTAGGTTGTAGCTATTTAGGTATATGCCTTTGTCTTTAGTGAGATTTTCTAAATAAGTTATTAATTTACTTTTTATTTAAGTAATTCACATGGTAGAAAAATAGTTATAAAGAAAACATTACCTGGGCTGGGGATATGGCTCAGTTGGTAGAGTGCTTGCCTTGCATGCACAATCCCCAGCACCACAAAAAAAAAAAAAAAAAGAAAGAAAAAAAGAAAACATTACCTATAATTATACCTCCTAACATTTCTAAAATAAAGACTATTAACTATTGTTTTTAGTAATATTTACATAGCTGTTGTAAATGCTTTAATTTATTAATTCTGGGGTTCTCAAATATAAGTGTGTGTTGGAATCACCTGGAAGGTTTGTTAAAAATCAGATTCCCTTCATCTTTACCCACTGTTACTGACTCCATAGATCAGGGGTAGGACCTGATAATTTGCATTCTAACAAGTTCTCAGGTGATGCTAAGGCTGCTGATCCACAGACCTTACCTGGAGAATCACTGAATTAACTCATTTAATTCTCACCATACGAAATAAGTATTGTCATTATCACCTTTTCTAGATAGGGAACTAAGGCAATCAAATAGCTTCCGCAGGGTCACATGGCTAGTAAAAGGAAGAGCCATTATTCAAGCCAAGGCAAATTAGTCCATTTGCATAGCCATTTGAGGTGTTAACAGAGCACAGAGCCTCTCTGGAGACCACAGAGGCTCCATGGTGGACATGACCATAGAGCAAGTCTTGAAGGAGAGTTGTGACTAGATATTCCCGTGTGGGACAGTATGTGCAGCAGTCTGGAGGGAGGAAAAGATGCCACTTTCCTGGAGACAGGCAAAACACAGTTTAGTTTTGCCTGTGTAGGTTTTATTGCCTCTGCTGTCCCTCGAGGGCAAAGGGCAGTATCTTGAAATTCCATGCAAAGTATCAGGCCTGTGTTCATTCTTAGGAAATGCCTGCTGACTTTCTCTTGATTATATCTATAATGGACACGACTTCATAATGAGGAACTAAACTATCAACCTTTTGGTTAATGGTGACAAAAAGTAAATTAGGCCATGAACTTTGAGATAGGCCTTATTGTGAAAGTCAGGGCTACTTTAATTTCTTTCTGTGATGTAAGAAGTAAGACTTTATCTTCCTTCTTTGGGAGATTAGACTATTTAATATAGTGAAGATCTTTTGTTTGATTCATTGCTTTTTTAATAATTATGCCTCCTTACACGTTTTCATGTGAAAAGAGAAAAAGTCTTGGGATAAGAATTGCAATCCCTTGGTTCTGGTGACAGAATCATTTACTGTTTATTCTGTGTCTTCTGTCTTTACTGAATCCTGTATCTTGTTTGTTTTAAATAGGTTGATTCTGCCTTATAATAATAAAAAATAGGTGAAAGACGTTTTAGGTAGAAATAGGTTAGTCTATAAAAAGATAGTTCTTTTAAAAAAGCCATTGCTAATGGAAAGAAAATGTTAAAAGACAAGTGTTTTGTGTGTGTATGTGTGGGTATACATACTTTTGAGGGTTATCACATCTCCTATAAGTCTGAATGAATAATACTGAGATATGTGTTAAGGACAGGAAGAAGTTTTATATTTCTACCCCATACTTTCAGTTTTACAGATTAGATTATTGATACTTTGAAGCATTATATTGGTTTCTTAAATATGTGTATATATTTATGGTATTCAAAACACTTTTGTATGTATTCTTTATTGTGCTTATGTTATTATTTGCCAATAATAAACTTTCTTATATTGTTAGGCCAGCTACAAATGCATGCATATTGTGAAAACCCAGACATAGTGTTATGTGGAAATAAGAGTGATTTGGAAGACCAGAGAGTAGTAAAAGAAGAGGAAGCCAGAGGACTTGCTGACCAATATGGGTGAGTATTTTTGTGGTGAAATCTAGAGAAAACATTTTCATTATAAACCTTTGTGCATGACTGGGTAATAAAAAAGACAAAAATGAAAAATTAAAGCAAAATGCTTGGATGTAGGCCTCGGGAGATGTCAAATATTTACTTTTTATATTAATATCATGATAGTGATAGTGGGAATCATAGAAGAATCATGGGATAAGGGTCTCCCCCAGGAGAAAGATAGCTTTGACTGCAAATGTACTGTCTGAGTAGGGCCTCCTTTTTAAGGTGCCAACTGGAGACTTGTAGGATAAGGAAATCCTTTATGTTGAGCAAGGAAATTTCAAAGCCAGTTCATATAATACTATAGACAGTTCTAGCATTTGAGGTCTTATTGAGTATCACAGACCAGGTACTGACTAAGGGGTGAAATGGAAGGAGACTGGGAGATTCAGCTGTGAGGAGGGTAAGGGCTGGATTAGTGAAAAAGGAAAAAGGGGTAAATCAGAAAAAACACACATGTGGGGCAGAACAGGATTTTAAATCATTTTCAATTTGCAATTGGATGTGGAGTTACACCCAGAGTAGATGATGTTTAACCATGTTAGAAATACCTGGGGCACTTTTAATATATATATGTGTAGGCCTCTGTCCTTCTGACATAGTTGATCTGGAGTTTATGAGGTAGGTGTCAAGTGAATATCTACATGTGAAGGGATCTGTCACAGTGATTTGACCTTATGCACCAGGGAGAGTTGGGTGAGCAGTCTTTATAAGGTGTTGGTTTTGTGTCTCACGCTGAAGCTTGAAGTGCACAGGACAGGGAGTCGGGAAAGAAAGGTGGATGTCAAGTGGAGGATGGAGGTAAGAAGTGAGAACCAGTTGGGACCCATAAGTGTGTACTGAAATTCATGTCAGCCCTTGTTGCCTCGTATCGTAATGATGTGCGTGTCCTGAAAAAACCAGGACCCTCTGCTACAAGGATAGCCACATATACCTGGCTCAGGGGTCCCAGGAGCTAAAGGAAGGTCTGGGGTGGGTGAAGCAGGTGCAGGTCTGATTGCTGGTTTATATCAACAAGGTGAGCCAAGAGATAAGGAACAGTATGTAAAAGCATTAAAATGGCTACTGCTTCACTTCTGCCCTCCATATCTCCCCCAGATCTCTTTTGTGGTGTACCCTAAGCAGGAAGGAAATTCTGGAAAATGTTCACCCCAGCCAGGTTGATATATTAAAGAGGCACTACCCCAGGGGATTCTGGGCAGTGGTGTCCTCTGCAGGATATTCATATGTGGTGGTTGCGAGTGATTGGGGAGATTCTGAGGTGGAGGCTGACAAAGGCCCACAAGCAGTTCTGATAATGCACCCCACTCTGCCCCACCCCTTGAGAGGCACTCAAGAAAGTAGAAGGGAAACAGGGAGAGGTTAAATACCACAGAGAATGCTGAAATGTTGAGAACTGTGTTGCAAGGGGGTAAAGAGGAAGTAAGCTATGAAGCAATGGAAGCCAGATACCTAGACCATGTTTTTGACATGTGTGTCAGTAAGGGCAAGAGCAGGGCAACTATAGGAGTTAGCTTCAGCTAGCAAGTGTATTCTTAAGTATTGGGGGAGAGTCAAGATTGACTTCTCTCTCTGGGCTTCTTGAGCCTTTGCTTTTTTTTTCCTCTGGTCTGGGTCTCAGAATTCCAGTCTGCCTGGTAGCAGAGAGCCTGGCATTGCCTTCTGTCACATTGGGATTCTGAGGAGTGTGGAGACTGTTTCTCACCTGTGTCCAGCTCACAACAGCTGTGGGATGTTTCACAGAGAGGAGCCCAATCTTAGTTGTTGAGTTAAAATGAGAAGAAAAGGGATTAACAGATTGGAATAACTGAAACTCTTGAAGAAGATGAGAGAAGGAAGGAAACAGAATTCCAATGGGATTTAGAAAGCAGTGTGGTTCTGTAGGCTCTCTGGCACTTTTAGATGAAAATATGATGGAACAATTTGGCTCCTATGTATTTTACAAGTTTGGCATAAACATTTAATGATTATTTTCACAGAAATCATGATTCATTCTTCATAATTATAACATTTTCATTGGTGGCCAATGTACTAAAAGGACTGTGTCAGTCAGTACATCCTTGTATTTAACAGTTAGAAAACAAGGGTACACCTTATGGCATATTTTCATATCATTTACATGTTCTGATAAGTTTACATTTTTTTGTTACCACAGTCATAAAAACAGATCATTGGTTCACAAGTAGTTTTGTGCCACATATATAAAATAAGAGCTTGTGTCTTAGAAAAACTTTGCAAATTGGTAATGAACATTATAGTGTAAATATGGAGCATGAATCTGTGAGTGCTGGAACAAGTATATATGAAAATGAGGACTTCATGCAGCAGCAAAACATGTGCACATGATGATGAATATCAGAAAATTTTTTTTAGTAGTTTAGGAGTCTATTTACCCCTAATTCTTTAAGCATTTTTTATGCATTCATTTTTTTCTATGAAACTTGGTTAAATTTATTTTGAAGCTCTTCGGTCACTTTAAACAAGACAAAATGATCTCTCTGGTTAACCAATTGAGATTTTCCAGAACAAATGGAAAACAGTGCTTTTCAATGTGTTGTATTGAATGCTATTGTCAATGAAGTCAGAGAAAATAGCAAAACAGAGACTTGTTCAAACTTGGGCACCAGTCAGACAAAATGATTGCTGTCTACACTGTTGTTAAAACATTTTAAAAATAATTACAAAGTCAATGATGAATACATTAGAATAGAAAACAGAATGAAATATTGGCAACAATATTCTTTTAGATGATACTGTTAGGTCTCAAATATGTATCAGAATCACTGGAACACCAAGTCTCTCAGAGGCACTGATTCAGTAGGTCTGAGATGGATCAGATAAATTTATATTTGTCACTGATTTTCAGATACTGTTGCTGCTGGTTCAGTATGGCACTTTAGGAACATGTGCAGAAGCTAAGTTCCTATCAGATGTGCATGCTAGCAGATATTTTCCTTGAAGAGAATCATTTATACATAGAATATGAGATAGTTATTTACTTGCACCCTGCTTGGGTAGAGGAAATGTGTCCAATGATTTTTCATTGGAAAATCCATGCTAAAGAGAGGAGGATTTTTTTCCTATGTAATTTTATCAGTTATGCTATAGATGGGAAGGGACACTCGAATCAGTACTGAGGAAGGGCTAACCACAAGTGAGTAAGCAACGAATTCATTATGTGAGTAAAAATGGTTGGATCAAAATGCTTGTCCTCACTGCTTTATTCAAAGAGGATAGTTTGTGGTGACAATAAGTCATTTTTTAAAATGCAGAGTCTGAGGGAAGTAGAGAAAATTGTGGATGTGATCAAAACACGACAACTGAATATACATATTTCATGTTCTGTGCAAAGAAATGGGTAGCAAATTTAAGAGGACTTTTTCCTGACTGAAGGCTGATGGCAGTTGATGAGGAAGGAACTCAAAAGTTTCTGGAACAAAAGAGGAGTTAAAAACATTTATTTGTAACATTAAAAAAATCAGTATAAACCATTTCTTAGATTTTTAAAAATTTTATTAGTTGTTGATGGATCTTTATTTGTTTATTTATATGCGGTGCTAAGATATGAACCCAGTGCCTCGCACATGCTAGGCAAGCACTCTATCACTAAGCCACAATCCCAGCCCATTTCTTAGATTTTAAGTGGCAGAGCTTAGCAGAAGCTGTCTTACCTAGTCTGAGCTAGATGAAACGTGATATGAATCACTTGGTCATCCCCAGTTTGGTTCTTTGCAAACTTGGTAACATCCTTCCTTGATAAGAGAAATAAATTATTGCTGTATCATTGGGCATGTTTTAATGGCACACAAATAAACCATAATCAAACATACAAGCTGATTTCCGGAGCCCAATACAACTCGGGTAAGGATCTAGATTTCATTTGCCACAGTCTCTCAGGTTCAGGCAGCACACCATTTCTTTTTCTGTAAATGTTATTCAGTTAGTATCCAGAAGACTATGAAATACCAAGACTCACTTCTCCTTTATGTGAAAAATTTCTCCACAATTTCTGGATCCACATGTGAATCAAATACAGAGAACCATTTAACAACCATCCAACATACTTACTGTCATTCCTGGCAATTTCTAGCTGGGATTTAGGATCTTCTAGTTTTGAGGGAATAAATAATAGAAAAGAAACCAGCTGGATGTGAATTCTGACCCATGGCCTGAGTGAGATATGAATGTCTTGGTGTAAAACTACAAATAATACCATCCCTCTCATTGATATGAAGCTGTAAACATTTCATTTAATTTTTTTTATTTTAAAATTTGTGATTAATCTACTTTTAAAAGCACATTAAAATTAGTTGTCTGCATGTACTTCAAATGACCATTTATAAACTGATATTTAGACAGATTTTTTTTCATACCTTTGGCAATGCTGCTCCATGACAGTGCTACATTAGCACCACCATGTGGAGAGAGGGAGCAATACCAATTTTTCTATGATTATAAAGGGGGCAGGTGATCCTCTTGAACTTTTGCTAAGATTACTAAATTTTGCCTAATAAGTTTTTAGAAAAGTATCATATTTTTGAGAGAAGAAAAATCCCATTGTATGAAAATTTATTGAACCCTGGCTGGGCGCTACACTTGTGCTAAGCACTGAGCGTGTGTTATCTTATTTCCTCCTCACCAAGACCTCATGAGCAGAGCTTCTTCCCCTTTACTGATAAGGAGCAGCAGATCCCAGAGCTGGAGGCCAGAATACGAGGAGGTGCCTTTAGAACCCAGAAACTTTATTGCTGTTCTTATTCCTTTCTTTTTGTTTACTCTTTCTTCCCCAGCCCCAGAATTTGAGATCTTTTTATATTGCTTTAAAAAACATAAAATATTTAATGAAAGTGCTTAGGTAAAATAGCTCAAACTCCTTCTGAATGTGAACATCAGAAGCTGTGAACATAAAAATATTTCTAACTCCATTCACTTCATCTCCTATATGCAGTCTAACTTTTAAG